TGTCTTCATCACCAACTAATCAACAAACGGTGGACCCCCGGTAACAACTCCACTGCTGCCCTCATCCATCAGGCCCTCGTTCCCCAGATGGAGGGGTTCCCCTTCGGCACCCCCAGGACATCAACGGCAAGCCTTCGGCTAATCAATACATGAGCCCTCAGAGAAAGGAGAGCCTTCGGCATTACCGTTATTCTCCATTTTTGACCAAGGTTTGACATTTTCGATTCATCATTGGGGGAATTCGGTGCACTCTTTTTCCCTCATTAGGATTTTTTCCCACAGGGTTTTTTCTAATGAGGTTTTTAACGAGGCATCCCCCCAAAATAAAACGAAAAGCGTCAGCCTTCGGCCCACAACAGCAACGCAACTACTCTACTCCTTTTTACCACTTTACAAGTGCCTCAAGGAGTGGGAGACTGGAGGACCCCCTCGGGAAAATCATTAAATTACAAAGTTAGTGAAATTCCAACAAACGACAAAGCAAGCCCTCAAGTCCCGACATGTGGGTAACTGAGGGACTGCCTTCGGCAGGGACATAAAAGCAACAACTCCTCACCAACTTTAGAAATCACGACAGGACAACATCAAAGGGCAAGCACAAATTACTCCTTTTCCCTCAAATACCTTTCGGCAAAAGGAGTGAGGGACTCCTGATGGAGTATATGGCCCGGGAACACCCGGCCCACAGACTCCTACTACTCCTTTAGAGGCCCAACAGGCCCAGAAGGCCCAACAGGCCCAAATCACGGCGCCCAGAGTACCAAGCAGTCCGCAATACGCACCAGGGGTGCCTTCGGCCCCCTGGCCGAAGGCTCCAAACTATCACAGCATGGATATTTCGAACAAACAAAGGAACTGGGAAAAACGGCAGAAAACAGTAGCCCTCGGCACCTGGAGCCCTCGGCACCCAGGGGTCCCCGACACTAAGAGCCCTCGGCTAGTCCTCTGCGGCCGAGGGCACCTCTCCCGACATGATATCCGCCTCACATGCGTACAGATCACCGTACCCTGTACAGACGTCCCATCCAACAGCCGCATTAAATGCGGCCACATGCGGCTACCAACGCCAACCACTTGAGGTGACCCCTCGGCCAATAGGCGCTTGACACGTGTCCCTGCCCGGCATTTATTGCTACTATAGATAGCACCCCATTTCCCCATTTGTAACCACGCTGAAAACGCTCCGCATTTATAATACACTCTCTCTCTACATTTACTTGCTCTGACTTCTCTCTAAGTTATTCCCCGCGATAACCCCTCGGATATATACCCCCCGGGTAGACTATCCATCAATAGTATAGTATAGTATAGTATAGTATAGTATAGTATAATATAGTATAGTATAGTATAGTATAGTATAGTATAGTATAGTATAGTATAGTATAGTATAGTATAGTATAGTATAGTATAGTATAGTATAGTATAGTATAGTATAGTATAGTATAGTATAGTATAGTATAGTATAGTATAGTATAGTATAGTATAGTATAGTATAGTATAGTATAGTATAGTATAGTATAGTAAAGTATAGTAGAGTACAGTACAGTACAGTAAAGTAGAGTACAGTACAGTATGGTATGGTATGGTATGGTATGGTATGGTATGGTATGGTATAATATGGTATGATATGGTATGGTATGGTATGGTATGGTATGGTATAATATAGTATGGTATGGTATGGTATGGTATGGCATAGTATGGTATAGTATGGTATAGTATGATATAATATGATATAATATGATATATAATATAATATAATATATAATAATATAATATAATATAATATAATATAATATAATATAATATAATATAATATAATATAATATAATATAATATAATATAATATAATATAATATAATATAATATAATATAATATAATATAATATAATATAATATAATATAATATAATATAATATAATATAATATAATATAATATAATATAATATAATATAATATAATATAATATAATATAATATAATATAATATAATATAATATAATATAATATAATATAATATAATATAATATAATATAATATAATATAATATAATATAATATAATATAATATAATATAATATAATATAATATAATATAATATAATATAATATAATATAATATAATATAATATAATATAATATAATATAATATTATATTATATAATATATTATAATATATTATAATATAGTATAGTATAATATAGTATAATATAGTATAGTATAGTATAATATAGTATAATATAGTATAATATAGTATAATATAATATAATATAATATAATATAATATAATATAATATAATATAATATAATATAATATAATATAATATAATATAATATAATATAATATAATATAATATAATATAATATAATATAATATAATATAATATAATATAATATAATATAATATAATATAATATAATATAATATAATATATATTAATATATATTAATATAATATATATTAATATATATTAATATATATTAATATAATATAATATAATATAATATAATATAATATAATATAATATAATATAATATAATATAATATAATATAATATAATATAATATAATATAATATAATATAATATAATATAATATAATATAATATAATATAATATAATATAATATAATATAATATAATATAATATAATATAATATAATATAATATAATATAATATAATATAATATAATATAATACAATATAATATAATATAATATAATATAATATAATATAATATAATATAATATAATATAATATAATATAATAGAATATAATATAATAGAATACAATACAATACAATACAATACAATACAATACAATACAATACAATACAATACAATACAATACAATACAATACAATACAATACAATATCATACAATACTATACAATACAATATAATATAATATAGTATAATATAGTATAGTATAGTATAATATAGTATAATATAGTATAATATAGTATAATATAATATAATATAGTATAATATAATATAATATAATATAATATAATATAATATAATATAATATAATATAATATAATATAATATAATATAATATAATATAATATAATATAATATAATATAATATAATATAATATAATATAATATAATATAATATGAATTGTCCAAGCTGCACACCTCTCCGATCTCTAATCTGTGCATCTCTTCTATTCCACGAACCCAAACCAGCTCTCCGATCTCCACCAATATTGTTGAAATTAAAAAAATCTACTTCCAAATTCAATTTTTTGTTTAACTTTCAGACTTCTTCTCTGGGAGCAGTTTTCTTATATGTAGACCGGAAGACGCTCAAATGGATTGGACGATAAAGAGAAGGGACACACAACTTTCCTTCTTTCATTAATTTTTTTATTTGAATTCTTTATTTAGGAAAGGGTGTTTTTGTATTTTGACTACATATTACATCAATAATCACTTTTTTATCTAACAGTTCAACTTTTTGCCTTTTATTTAAAGAAATATTGACCTCTATATTAGCATAGGACTTTGTGTTTCCAAAAATATCACCTTATTTCTCTTTTCCAAAAAAGTGACCTATTTAATTAACAAAACAGATCTGAAATATATAGCAGCGAAGCATCCTTCCAGTGCACTCATCATAAGGAGACAACCGATCGATTGCTTCCAGCGCACTCAACGATGGTCGATGGCCATATATCGTGCATCTCTTCCAGCGCCAGTGAGTGAGGTAAGCATGACGACGACGTCGTCGTGTATCTTCCCCTTCCCCTTTCTTTTTCTACCCAAAATCTTGAGCTAGGGATAGGGCGACGGTGGGAAAAGGGGGTAGCCTGTTAAGGTGAGGGGGCTAGGCTGGGGTCTGAGTTTGGGGTTCTCGCGATTGGGGATTGCCGACAGTTTCTCATGGGAATGGGGGTGGGATTTGGGGCAATTGCAGGGAAGCTAAGGAAGGGATTGGAGGGTTGGGGAGAGGTGTTTGGGTTTGGGGAAGAGGATTTGGGGGGGCAGATGGCAGTGGCCGGAGTGAGACGACGACAGTCGGAGTTGGTTGTTGGTGTCAGCCGGAGTTTGTGGAGAACGGCGACAGGTGGCCCGTGGCCGTGGCCAGGACGGGAGATATTGGTGTTGCTTTCGGTCTAAACGTCGTCACTGTTAGTCGTACCTGGTTGGGGTTGTGATGGGCGGCCTCGATTTTGGTCAAAAAGTCATCCGAAAAAGTCACCAGAAAATATCTGGCAGTCACAGTGACATGTTTATGCCGACAGTGACATCCGAAAGTGACATGAAAACCGATAGTGACATTCAAAAGTGACATAAAAATCTGGTAATGACCTATAATAGTGACATAAAAATCTTCCAGTGACATCATGGTTTTCCAAATGTATGACCTTCTTAGTCACATTTTTGTCATTTTATAAAAATGGTCACATTTTCGGAAATTAGATTGAGTTTAGTAATATTCAAGTAAAAAACCCTTAATTAAAATTAGAGTTTTTGCCACTTTTGGTCCTCCGAGTATTGTGTCAGTGACACTTTTGGTACACGACTTTTATTTTTTCCATTTTTAGTCCTCGACTATTGGTCGTGAGACACTTTTAGTCCTCTACTTTCAAGTTTCCGACATTTAGTCCTTTGAGTATTATCAAATTGACACTTTTAGTCTTTCTACTATGATTTTGACACAATAAGTGGAGAACTAAAAATGTCTCTATTGAAATACTTGAAGGACCAAAAGTGTCATTTCTACAAAAGTCGAAGGACTAAATACGAAAATTTTCAAAGACGGATACCAAAAGTGTCTCTCGCACAATAGTCGAGGACTAAAAGTGGAAAAATTAAAAGTCGAGTATCAAAAGTGTCACTGACACAATAGTCGGGGACTAAAAGTGTCAAAAACTCATTAAAATTACTTGTATTTACAAACATTACCCACTTTTATTTTAAATCACTTGTCCAACCATCTCTTAAGTCTCGTTTAGGGACAGGTAGCCTAAACGTACTTAAGTCCATTTTACCATGGGGTTTCTGAAATAAGTCATCCATGGAACATTCAGCTGCCGGCTGGTCCGTCAATTTCAACAGTGATTTCCAGTAGATTTGTCGAATCCATACTTTTCTCCTATGTGGGCGCATTCCATCCTATACTTCCTCCGACTCTCTCTCTTCGCTTGTTCAGAGAAAATCACTCTGAGCTGTAATCGTCCTAGTATCCAAAACTGAAGATCTGTAAAACCTCTGTCAATCTCTCTCCCAGTTCCACCGCGCCTATCGATTAGGTGAGCAGATGCGCGATGTTACCTTCGTGTTTGTATGTTGTATGTCCAGACTTTTTGAATTACTCGATTCTGGTGTGCTTCTCCTAGTTAATATTGAAGGCTGCACTCGTATCAGATCCGATGCTCACAAATCTTCGAACTCTGATGAGCTTTCCGGTTTTTTTTCGCTTCCGTAAAGTGTGAACTTTGGTGGAAAGTTCTGATTCTTTCATTTATTTTTTGACGGGAGAAAGCTAAGCTTATTCATTTATATTTTACTTCTTCGGTGGCAGGGGATTTGAGCAGAATAGGACTTTGATTGGCGTCGACAAATGGCGAGTCGGTTCAAAGAGGACGAAAAGAATGAGAGAATTATACGGGGTCTACTCAAGCTGCCTGACAACAGGAGGTGTATAAACTGTAATAGCTTGGTACGTATGCACATAAATGTGCTTCGTTTGTGTAATTTTTGCGGCCAGATAATTTTAATGAGTGAATTATATGAATGATATGGAGTAATTAAATCTTAGTGATGCATGTATTGGTAACCAACACTGAATGGGCGTAAACAATACCTGCTGTATTTGAAGATTGACTTTCTTTATTACGTATGTAGTAAGGGGAAAGGTAATCTTTGTCAAAATAAGTACTCTACAGGCCACAGAGAGTTTACCCACTTTAGAGGTTCATCGTTTTTTATATTGTTGATGATCCACAATATTGTATATACATGCTATATTAAATCTTATGGATATTATATTAGATGTACAATCTGCATAACAATGAGAAAAAAAGTATGTAGTACTTGAGCCATCCAATAGTTACAAATTCTTTCACAGATGTTTGTTGCCCATGTAACATTTTGTTGTCTAGATTTCTTTTTCTTCCGTAAGTGTGACCCAATTGCATAATGAGCAGTAGATTTATTGTTCCAGTGCTCCATATTGTTACAGACTTACAGAACATGCGTTGCCATTCACGCCACCAGTTTTGTAGATGTAACATTTTTTTACACTAATATGAGCTACATGTTTTGCACCTATGCAGGGACCTCAATATGTTTGCATTAATTTCTCGACATTTATTTGCACAAACTGCAGCGGCATACAGTACGTCTAGTTAATCTAAACACATTGCATATTCTCCCATCAATCTGAGGCCTTCTATACAAGTGTTTCAAACTTTCTATACACTTTGCTTAATTGCCAGTATTCATTCTTTTGCTAATCTATGAATTTGGGAACATTTGCAGTCGGGAGTTTACACACAGAGTGAAGTCAGTATCCATGGCAAAGTTTACTTCACAAGAAGTCAGTGCACTACAAGGTGGAGGAAATGCGGTATGCTCAACTTTTAATCTTACATGGTCAACATTATTGTAATTTGGTACTCTCTATCTAGTAGTCTACTAGTAAGTAACCATCTTTCTCATGCTTACAGAGTGCCAAGGAAATTTATTTGAAGGAGTGGGATCCGCAGCGCAATTCTCTCCCTGATGGAAGGTTTCTATATTTTTAAATGTTTATGTACATTAATGTTGTTAAAAATATAAATGCAATTCTGTTCCTCGGTTTCTTTCAGTAATGTGGAGAGACTTCGTGATTTCATTAAGCATGTTTATGAGGATAGAAGATACACAGGCGAGAGAGGGTTCTCAAGAGGAAAGGTGTTGACGTGTTGTATACCTCATCTCTGTATATTTTTTTATTTCTGTTTTTCTTACACATCAATTCGTAGCTTGTTTCTACAAATCAATAGTTTTTTTTAATTTTGTTTTCTTCTCTCATGAGCCTGTAAACTCTGTATCCTTTATTGTTATCAAAACTATTTTTTGATGTCATTGCATATGTTGAATGAAGTAATTTGTAAGGCACATTTTGAGTCTACAGGGTGAAACTGAGGACTCAAATGAGAACAAGAGGGTGGATACATACCAGGGTAGCTCACAAACCTCAGGAGGAAGAAGCCCCGGATATGATCAGGAAAACAGACAGTCCACTGATCACAAGAGAGTTCCTGGCACTGAAGTAATAAATGATTGGAGACGGGATGATAGATTTGGGAATGGCAGGAGACTTGTAGAGAGGCAAAGTTTTGATGGTAGCTCTAAGGTTGAAATCAATTCACCTGATTGTCGAAGTGATTTGGACACATCTAGTCCCCCAGTGGTTCGACCAGTACGAGATATTCTTGGAGATAATGCCTCCCCCCTACGAGTTATTGAACCTCCAAAGATGGCTATTGGTGGACCTCCTACCTATGCACAAACTCAGGTATGTAAACTTTCTGCCATTGAAGACATTCTCTGTTATCTGTAGCTTTGGAGGTACACATGAACTACAACTACAGTGAACTTGTCCATATGTTTTTAGTGAACTTGTCCATATTTTCACAATTACTTTTAGAGAAATTGGAAGTTTGATATCTGAGTTGTCGAGAGCTATACTGCACTATCCTATATTCATATTTGACAATAGGCTCAACTAATTTTTTCAAAGAACTGTAACTTTTAGTACGAAATCGCAAACTGATTTCACTGCAAGTTAATTTCCCTCTTTCTTCACATCCGACTTAATATGGCTCAGTTTCTAGGCTATAGATAATTTGCACCAGTAGATGCAACACATACAGAATCAATTAAAACATTCTTTTTCAGAGGGCCACTCCCTCCAATAGCTTGGCATCTTCAAATGGCAACCCAATCGAAGTTAAGGAAGAAACTTCACTTATTGATTTTGGAGCTGCTGCTGAACCTGCACCAACTGCTGTATCACAACCAACTTCATTGGGTGCTGATAATTGGGCAAATTTTGAGTCAGTGCCAGTGAAAGCACCTTCAAATGCCAATCAGCTGGATGTACTTTCAGAATTGATGACTCCCTCGCCCGCCCTGGGAGAAAACAGTGCAAGCTCTGCTCCTGTTGGCATCTTTCCAGCTTTGAGTAAATCTTCACCTATTCCAGCCGATGTTTCCCACTTGAACAGTTTTGGTCCAAGTGCATTTCCTCCTGGAACAACATCCTTATTGCAAGTTGGGGGGAGTTCTGTCCCGTTGACACATGCTGCTGGAGGGCAATGGTCCAGCATGCAACCTCAGCATTCATCTCTCCTAGCAGTTACTGGGACCCAACCTCTCCCTCATCACTGGATCCCAGTCATTGAAGGGCGTCTCAACAATCAGGTATTCAGGTTTGCTTTCTAATTTTACCTTGAAATGTTAAATCATGACTCCCTTGCTGCCTTCAAATGCCTGTGCTTATTTTTACTTTTATTTTTTTTGCAGCAATGGAATCACATAGGTCCATCAGGGGTTCTGGACACAGCAAGGGCCCAAGATCCTCAAGTTTTAGTTGAGCATGCTTTGAATTCCACTTCTGGAATTGCCCATGTATGTGATTCTAGATCTGATGTGAGAAGAGAACTTCCTGCAGTAAGCTCTTATCTGTTGATTCAGACTTGTTTGACCTCTCTCGTATATTCAGTTAGTACGGTTACTCTATGAGTTCTTTTGCTTTTGTTAAAAAAATGTCATCTTATGATTTTTCCTGCAGGATTTGTTTACTGTAACCTATCCATCCATGTATGCACCAGTACAAGGCTTGTATGCTGCTCCATCACATGGACATGGGTTCTCCATGCAATATCATAATATGCAAATGGTATCTATGCACAACACAACTTCACGTATCACGTTGCCTGATCCCCTCTTAGTGTTATCTACCAATCTCTGCTGCTGCAAAGTATTAAAGAAACTTTATATGTTTATCAGCAGAAACATACTTCTATGCAGCCGATAAAATCATCAAATCCTTTTGACACCACCAGTGAGCCATCTCCTTTACGATCTTCTACGGTGAGCAAACAAAATATTACTCAAGTGTCACTGCTTATTACACTACCATTTGCTCAAAATGTTTGGACTGAATAAAGTTCCTATCACAAGTGGGAACATGCTGAAAATGAATACACCCACACGCCCACGCGTTCCAGGTAGCTAGATAATACACTAATGAAAGCGGTTTTATCACTAAGCTAACTCAAGATTATTTTAATGTCAATATGTTTAGTACATATGAGAATCTTAGGTACTCTTTACTTCATTGTTGCAGTTTCCATCGGTGGCTTCATTACAAGGTGCACTGCCAAGCACGGGCCCTTCATCAGGCCTGCTCCACACATCCAGCCTTGGAGCCCCACCAACTTCCCATGTACACAGCAGTGTGCCTCAGCAGCCACAATCTTACGTGTCAACACTCCCTCCAAGTAGTAACTCTTTTTTCCCTGCCTTGTCTCTTGCTTCATTTATCCATGTTTTATGCATGATCTGATTTGCTTTGATTCTTAGATTCATATATGAGCCAGCACCTGGCGGGTAGCCTGTCACAGAGGTAATTTGTTGCTGCCTTCATAAAAACATCCTTGATTTTAATATGCCAATTGTGTTCACTTTTTGAAATATTTGCAGACCAAATAATCGTGCAGGCTATGTCCTTCCTGGGGCTGCTTTTGCAGACATGAACTCAAACCAGCAGCTTGGTGCGGGGCTACATGCAGCAACACCTCCTGCCCAGAATACAATCTCTCCTGCTGGGAACCCATTTGGGTGAATTGAATGCAGTTTCCCTTTTTTGACATGCACATCCTGTTGCTTTGGGTGTGCTGCATAATATATTACCTGGGGAATGGATATGGATTATGCTATTGGGATAAAAAATATACCAAGGGAGATCATAACTGCTATGCGCTGAAGCAATTAAGGCACCAAAAAGTGTGATTGATTAATGGGGCTTGTGCAGTACACACTCATGATCGCCAACTCATTTTTGTGTGCTACATATATGCATACCATGTTTATCATTATTTTAATAGTTTTTGTGGTTCTCATCTATTATCCTCTATTCATTTTCATGTTAATGGTTTAATGAGTGTATTGTTTTCAAAATAGGGTTTTTGTTTTTCATTTTCTCGGTTCTTTGTATCAAACTAGATTTTCACCTGTGCTGCACACGGTACAATAAATAATACGGAGTAACTTGATTTGAGTTTCTAATTCTAATGATTTATGCATAAATATACTTCGTATTATGCAAGTAAAAATAACTCGAGTGTAAGAAGTATATAAAGCTAAACTATATAAAAGAACTGATGATACATAAAAAATACTACGTATGCAGTGGTAATAGCGTGACATAAAAGTATAATGCTTTTAATAATTTTGAAAATAACATGATCAGAGTGGTAGTCGTACAATTTTTCAAACACTTTTTATTATAAAAGGCTGGTGATCAATATATCACAATTCACATGTAATGTAATCTTGATTGCAAAGACATTAAATGGCAAAAATCAAACTGTATTTTGAAATTTAAATTAATAATTGAGTGTTTTAATTCCTTTTGAAAAAAATAGAGTGTTTTAATTTGAAACAAATAGTTAACATCACAGAGGCACAAAGGATGTTTTTATTTGGATTTGAATTTTTTGGTCAGCTAAATGTCTGGTATTTGCCTATTTGGGTATCCAAAGTATTAATAAAACACTACAAATGATCTATTGTGAGAAAAAAGAATTTGTACAGCTTGATCTCACCATTGTTCTCGTCAATATATGACCCGTTTAACAATTTTCTGTTAAACAGGAACACATAAATAAATAAGTTAACAAATGTTAAGTGGGAACACATAAATAAATAAATAAGTTACATTACTTACATATCCAGTTATTACATTGAAAACTTCCATTTAGCTATGTCGCAGCTGCACTGTGTACAACTTGGGCATGTAAAAGCTCTTCTTCGTCCAATGATAGTATACAATAGGGGTGGACTCGGGCCGGGCCAATCGGCCCGGAACCGGACCGGCCCGCTACTGTGCGGGCCCGGACCGGCCCGGTGAACCGGTTGGTTGGCCGGTTCGGGCCACTCGGCCCGGTGGGATCTCGGTTCAGGCTCGGGCCTAGTGTTGGACTTGGGCCGGCAGTCCTATATAGCTGGACCCGGGACCGGCCCGGGTAGCCACCGGGTCCGGTCCGGGTCCGGGCCGGGCCTCGGGTTTGGTTAATTTTTTTTTTTTTTTTGCTTAGCTACCCATCCCTAACCCCCCCCCCCTCACCCCACCCCCCAAACCCCTCCTAAACATCAAGCCCAACCCGGTGGAGCCCAAACAAATGAAAAAAACCAAAAAAAAAAATAAATTTGGCCCGAACCGGGCCTTGTTATGGGTGACCCGAGCCCGGACCGGAAACCCACCGGGTCGGGCCTACCCGGACCGGTCACTGACCGGGCCACCGGTTCGGGCCGGGCCGGAACAGTGCCGGTTTCGGCTCGGGCCACCCGGCCCGAGTCCAACCCTAGTCGGGCCCTTCAAAAGGTGAACCGGCCCGGCCGGTTCAGGCCCGGGCCGGGCCAATTTTTTTTGTTTTTTTTTTAAGTTTTTGGGTTGGGCTGGGTATTTTGGGCCATTTGAGGTGGTTAGGGTTGGTTTGGGGGTGAGGGGGAGGGTTGGGGGTTAACTAGGAAAAGCCCTCCAAAAAAAAAAATATATAACCGAGGCCCGGCCCAAACCCGGGGGTTACCCGGGCCGGTTCCGGACCTCCCATACCTTGAACCGAGGCCCGGCCGGTTCAAGGCCCGAACCGGGCCCGACCCGAACCGGGCCCGACCCGAACCGAGTCCATCCCTAGTATACAACAATAAACCGTTGATTCAATCTTTCTATCACAAATTTTTAGATGTTTCCTTAACTATTTAATTATTATTTCATGTGCATGCAAAATATTAATACACAGTAATTTTAGATGTTTTGCTTTGACTATCGTTCCATATTTTTAATAGATACATTGTGATTGGGGGTGGATTCGGTTCGGGCCACCCGGCCCGTGACTCGGCCCGACCCGCTACTGTGCGGGCACGGGACCGGCCCGGTCCGGCGGTCCAGGACCGGGTGTAGACCCGAACCGGTGGGGATGGGCGGGGCGGGCTCGGTTCCGGAAAAGTTGACCCGGCCCGGCCGGGTCGGGCCCGGGTCCGGGTCCAACAGTCATTTTTTTTTTGTTTTGGCCAAAATAGCCGTTGGGGGTGGGCTGGGGACAACCCAAACGGCTATATAGCCGTTGGGTGGGGTGCAGGGGGAATCCGGGGGGGTTTGGGGTGGGGGGGGGGGGGTGGGGGGTGTAAAAAAACCTATAAATACTCCTAATCTTAAACATTTTTTCATCTCTTCTCCAATTCTTCCTAAATCCTATTCTTAACTCTCTACTCTCTAATTCTCTTATTCTCCAATATATTATATTTATTATTTATATATCTACTTTATATTAATTATCTATCTACTTATAATTTATAAATACATACATTATAATATTATATTACTTATATTTGTTATCTAATTATATATTACTTATACATTTATTATATCTATTAATATAGTTGGAATTATATCTAATTAATTTGAAGTCATTCTATTACTCCCATCCGAAAGACTGAAAGTCCGGAAGAGGTACGGAATTATTCTATTATTTACACTTGTTTAATTTTGTATTAACGTTACTTGAAAAAAAACTAGTTAATTCTCATAATAGTTAAAGTTAAACTATAATAATTTGATTGTTAGTAAAAAAAAATAGATTGTACAAAAAACTAGTTGTAATTCTCATTATAGTTAAAGTTAAAGTGTATTAATTTCATTGTTAGTAAAAAAAATAGGTTGTACACAAAACTAGTTAATTCACTAGTTAATTTGATTAAAATAAACTTTAAAATACTAATTTGCTATAACTCGAATTAATAGTTAGATTAATAGTTAATTACTTTATTACAATTTTTTATTAATTGCTACATTTGACTCTAGTTTAAAAAACTAGTTAATTCTCATTATAGTTAAAGTTAAAGTATATTAATTTCATTGTTAGTAAAAAAAATAGGTTGTACACAAAACTAGTTAATTCACTAGTTAATTTGATTAAAGTAAACTTTAAAATACTAATTTTCTATAACTCGAATTAATAGTTAAAGTAATTACTTTATTACAATTTTTTATTAATTGCTACATTTTTAGATGGATCGTCCTAGATATTCGGTTGATATGGGTAACCACGAGCGCAACCGAACGAAAGAGCTTGCGAGGAAGAGATCCCGCAAAGGTAAATCGCATATCGGCTCTCCATCTCAAAGTTGAGATGATTTTGATATGGGTTACGCAAGGAGGGATGAGGATGCGATGACCGACGAACAACTAGAACAAGAATTGCACCGACATAATTCCCGCTTTTTTCAAGACCAACCGAGGACCATTGACGAAGAAGAGATCGAGGACGAGGACGACGATGTGGAGGAAGTAATTCCGGAGAGCCACGACGACGAGGAGGAGGGTGGCGGCAGCCATGACGCCGACCAACCTGCCTCATCCCAAACAGGTACGAAAAAAATAAATCTGAACTAATGGCTAATAATTTTTCTAAGTGGAAGGACCTGAACACCGGGAATTGGACCGCAACTTGCAATTGGTGCAAGAAAAACTATAGCTTGGGGATTTCCGACGGATACGGATCCGCCACAAGACACCTTAAGTCCAAACACCCGGTGGAGTATGCAAAATTAGGCAGCAGAACGGGGAAGCAAACTCAAATATCGAGGTTTGCAAATAACCAACAAGCTTTTGGTAATTTCTCATACAATGATGCACAAAATTTGACTGGTATGGCTAACTTACTTGTTGAAGAAAAATTGCCTTATTTGTTTTCTGAAAGTCTTGCTTTTCGTGATTATGCACAAACTTGTTTAAATCCGCAATATAGAGGTTATAGTCGCAAAACGGTTAAGAAAGAAATTTCAAGGCTTTATGGTGCGGAAAAGGTAAGGTTACAAAATTATTTTGCAAACTTTGATGGATGTGTTATTGTATGTTCTGACATATGGGAGGATACTTATCATAATTTACATTATTTGGGTCTGACTGTACATTATATTGATAATGATTGGCATATGCATAAACGTGTTCTTGCTTTCCGTGAATTTAATGATTGTCACACCGCTGAACATATTTATATTTTGATTGAGCGTATTATTATTGAGTATAATTTAATTGATAAGGTGTTTGCTATTGGTTTTGATAATGCTACTAATAATACTGCTGCTATTCCTAGATTGCATGTATTGTGTGGTTCTACTTCTTTGATGGGTAGATTTTTTCATCAACGATGTGCATGTCATGTTCTAAATTTATGTGTGCAAGATGGTCTAAAAGCGTTGGGAGCATCGTTGGAGGTAGTTAAGGGGGGGATTAGACGTATTTGGGGTAATGGACAACTTAGGAAAAAATGGCATGATTATTTGATAGAAATATGTGAGAGATATGTGGCTTTTCCTAAAGATTTGTCTATTCGTTAGAATAGTACCTATAAGTTAATTGGAGTTCTTCTTAGATATAAACATCATTTTCCTGCTTTTATGAAACAATATGATAACTATATTATAAACTCGGTTGAGATCGGCACATGTGAAAAAATTTGTAATGCTTTGATATATTTTAATAATGCAACTGAAACTTTTAGTCATGTTTATAAACCTACCTCAAACCAATTTATTCGTGAAGCTGTTAATCTCGTCGGTGCTTTTTCAAATTTTGAGAATGCTGATTATGTGAGTTATTTTGCTAGTTTTATGAAGGAAAAGTTTTTAAAATATTATTCATATATTCCGCATATTTATGATATTGCATTTGTTCACGATCCTCGTTTTAGACTTGGTTCTTTAGAAGAATGTTTGAATTATTATTATGCTGTTTTTTTGGTCCATTGCCAATGTATGAGGACAACCCAATTGATCCGAAAAAAGAATACAATGAGGTTAGTGATATATTTTATGCATTATTCAATGAGTTTCATGCACAATATGGCAATGCGCCCCCTCCCCCGACACAAACATCATCTAAAGGAAAATCAATTTTCAAATCGACATTTGCCAATCTTATTAAAAAAACGAAATCAACTCGCGCTACGCAACAAAGCACAATTAATGAGATTTCTTTGTATTTAACATATGATGTTGAT